TTCCTCCCAGCCTGACTCACAGGAAGGCCTGCAAGCAAACAGAGCCATCTGCAGTCAATTGTCCTGGCTAATGGGAGTCATCAAGATTCCAAACCACCATTAATGGCCCACACTTTGCATAATTACAATAGGCCCTCAGAGTTATATTTCATATTTCTAGTTTCAGATACAAGAGTGATACATTTATACAAATAGGATGATCACACTCAGTAGATTATAAGCTTTGTAATGATACCTTACAAGAGACCTTTTGCATGAAGCATATTCCAGTTACATCATATTCACACTCATTAGCATATTTTTATCAAATCATATAGAGTGCAACATCACACCCGCAACTGTGAACATTTAAATAGATACAAATCGAACAAAAGGCTTAAAAATAAACATCAATATTATGAGCTGAATTCTGCCAAGCCCAAGGATATACTGTTGTAATGAGCAACGCATATAATAGACATTACTCTTTGGAGTATATACAAAATCAAAGTCCAGCGTTTGGACCGGGTCAGACCAAAGGTCCATCCAGCCCAGTATCCTGTCTTCCGACAGTGGCCAATGCCAGGTGCCCCAGAGGGAATGAACAGAACAGGGAATCATCAAGTGATCCATCCCCCGTCGCCCATTCCCAGCTCCTGGCAAACAGAGGCTAGGGACACCATCCCTGCCCATCCTGGCATTCAGAAAGCTGCTGCAGAGATCACTCCCCGAGCCCACCGCTTTGTCTGCATCACCCCTCTCTTTGCTTTGCAGCCCTGCACTGGCTCCCCCTTCTCCAGCTCCTCAAACATCAGCTGCTTCTCTTCGCTCAGACGGGCCTTCACGGCCAATCCCCACCCGACCTTTCGTCTCTCGTTCGCACTCCCACCTCGGGTCGGCCCGTGCTGCCAGCTGCCATCGCCCACTGGGTGCATTTCCAGACAAGCCCCTCGGTGACACCTCCCCCCGCACTCTCCTTCACGCTGGGGGACGTGATGATCCCATCCAGCCTGACATGGCCATGATTCTCCGGAAACACCACAGAAAAGAGATCGGTGACCCCTTGCACCCTGCAGGGGCATCAGGGCAGCCCTGACTGCCAGGGGAGAGCTCCCACCCAGCCCCCTGCAGCGCAGCGCCCCCTAGCGCCAGCCTGGGGCATTGGGGCCAGCCCTGCCTGTCAGGGGAGAGCCCCACCCTGCTCCCTGCAGCACAGCGCCCCCTAGTGCCAGCCTGGGGCATTGGGGCCAACCCTGAGTGCCAGGGGAGAGCTCCCACCCTGCTCCCTGCAGCACAGCGCCCCCTAGTGCCAGCCTGGGGCATTGGGGCCAACCCTGAGTGCCAGGGGAGAGCTCCCACCCTGCTCCCTGCAGCACAGCGCCCCC